TGTGGATTCATCATAGTGAAACGGTTATTGTTAATGACGAGGATGAGGAGAAATACGACGACGAAACTATAGAATCCCTGTCCCAATATTCAGCAGAGCTTGAGGCACGAATGGATTTCGAGTTTGACAATGAACAAGGTGGTGATGTTGCTGGTTGGGATGGTAACGACGAAGGTGGTGCCAATAATGATGGTGGAGCACGTATCGGGAATGAAGATGATTTGGAGGACATGATTCGAGCCTTTGGATCAGAGATTTTACTAAATAACCCAAAAAATCTGAAAATTTATAGGAACGGCCTAAGAACCGCTCCAACAAATATATAATTTATAGAGACCTTTGCATAAAGACGGCTAGGCAAACCGCTCCTGTAAATGATTATGAGCCGCACCTCAAAATCGATTCTGTAGTACTGCCACCGCCGTCACCCTTCTCCACCGGCTTCATGCCCGCACCAGCCAGAGGGACAGCACTTGCACCAGATCCACCTCTACGTACGCCCTCTTCGGCCATCTCCACCTCCGTAACGGCTGCCTGCCACGGTACAACGGAGTTGCCCTCCTTCCGCTCCGACGGCGCTGGGATCACGTTCTTCCTCGTCCCCATACACGGTAAGGCCTTCAATCCCTGTTCTCTTTTCCTTGATGTCTTCTGCCTTTCGGTCGCTCGATGGAATGCCAAACCAGAAAAAAAAAAGAGAGGAAAAAATAGCATGCTGCCTACACAGCCGTGAAAACAATTTGTTTGAGTTTACTAACATTTGTTTGAGTTTAAATTTGTAATACAAAATAAGAAAACAATTCAGAATTCACTACAGGGAGACCACTTATACAAGCAGAGAAAAATGATTCCGTGTTTTAGGTTTGATATGTTATAAAATTTATACTTTTTTCCGTGTCATAGATCAGAGTTCTGGGGTAAGTTGTGCCAGAGTCAAAGAGCAGGGCTTCTCAGCTTACAGATTACTGCTACAAGTTACAGCAAAAAAAAGTCAACGTTCAACACATTAAAAGATGGCATGAATTGTGCTGGCCCTCTCCACGGTATACCGCGAGATACCGATGCACAATTGTTGCCCAGAGCTAGGATGCCATGTTTTGCAAGTTAATTCAGTTCCATGCTATCTGTAGTACCGATAGACCTTTGGTTTGAACAGCTGAACTGAGATTCAGCTACTGAATTTAACTTTGTGCAATCATGAAATAAAAGGTGCCAAAGGTTCCGTTATAACAAATAATATCCAATTATGTTACATGTACTCCACTTATTCAAGACCATTGTGCATTTCCAAGAACTCTGAAAAATATTAGTATCAAAGTTTGGTGCGGTCAGTGATTTGGCTGATGCAAATTTTAGATCCTACCATGTGATTAATCCAGTATACATGATTTCCACACCTATGCTTCACCTTTACAAATGGAGTTTCCAAAGCAACGTTATGGGTTATTACTGATTTTCATTTCCTATGTCTCATTGCTACTTAGAGCAAGTATAATAGTAGGCTGTAAGCCGACTAAATACTGAGGTGGAGGAGAGAGGAGAAGCATGCTGTAATAATATTACAGCCGGTTTGGGTACAAGAACCAAAAAAATCTATGAGAGAGATAAGTGGGTCATGTATTAACTATAAAAAGTTAACTACTATATGAGTGAGCTGAGAGAAGGCTGCAAGGAACCTTACAGCCAGCAAGCCGACTGTATTATTAGCCTTACTCTTATGATGCCATTTGCACATGATGCAATATTAGAGTGAAAACATTTTTTAAACAACAATGACGTGCTCTTTTCCCTCGCTGCTTCGCTGCTGGTCTCTTTTTTCTTCGTGTCACAATCTTTGCTGATGCTCTTTTTTTAATGTCAGGATGAACTTTTAACACTACTTATAAGGAAAATTAATGAATGTGTTAACATTCAACAGTTACATGCTGTCGGGCGGACCCACAGGGTATGCCAGCTGGGCCACGGCATACCCTGGGGTCCAGCTGTAAGTCAGACATAATATAGTTTTTTTTTTGTGTAAAAAAGAAGAAGAAGAAAGTTACGTGGTTCCTGGTATACGCCCGACGGTTCGGTTAGCTGCGCACGCGCTGTAACTCCGCGGCCGCGCGCGCCTCGATAGTTGATACCCCACGGGCCCACACACGCGCACGCGAGGGCAAGACACGACGGCATCGATTGAACGTGTTTCAGTCAGTTTGTTTGGCTGTGTCTTATCGTAAATGATCATAAATTTTTAGCTAGGACAATATTTTTTTCTCACATAAATCAGCCTGCAGTACTTCTTCACGAACCAGCCAACCGAATAGGCTGCACGTCTGAACTGCCCGCGGCTCCGCGCGTGGTCGTCGCATCCGGTGATCCGCACCGGGCCGTCCGCCAAAGTCGCCAGTGTTGCCGCCAGCCGGCCGGATACGCTCCGCCCGACGGCCTCCGAGAGCCAGACAGGTTAACACTAACCTTCTATTTTTCATCGGCCCTGTTCGGCTTACCCCATATTTGGCTTGTTCGGCTTCTTTTTTCAGTCGGAATAGTGTTTTTCTCTCCCAACAATTTAGCCGGAACAGTGTTTTTCAGCCAGTTTCAGCCAAGTTTCATACCAGCGAACGGAGCCTTCATGTATTTCTAAAAAAATTGTATACTTAAATATTTATTTTTATTTATGTATGAGTGATTTTTTTTTTAATTTCGGTTCATTAGTTCATTGAACAGACCAATATCAGTCCTAGTCCAAGAACACTCCTAAATTCTTATCCCGTGACTTTTGAGTTTTCTATTCTAACCAAAAGTTTGAACCATGATTTTATCGTCGTTTCTAGCTTAATATTTGAATTAAGGCTTTCCATACTATTTAAGTATGTGGTTTTACTAAATTAGAATGTGGTTTTACGGAATTGTAAATGAATTTACCGAATTGCATGAGATTTTTTTCTTTTTTTGCGGCATACCCTGTGATAAAATCCTAAGTCCGCCACTGTACCTAGCTCTGAGAGGGTTATTTGGAGATGCAGAACCTCGGTGATCAGCATTAGATGTCACAAACATCGCAGGTTAACTTTTTAAAATTATTTGCAGCTGACTGGTGATGTTCTTATGCAGGGCAGTGTCCTGAATTACATATTGCCTCGCAATGCATATCATCAGGTGTCTGTCAAAGAAGATTCAGTGCATTTGCTTTGCTCCATACAAAAAGAAGAAATGGTTCAGGCTATATGACTAACCCTGGGAATGGATCGTGTAAACCCAAGGGCTGAAAGGGCCCCCAACCATGGTTTAAAATTGCGGGCTATTGAAAATAGCAGCATCTTTTTTTTAAAGCTATAAAGCTATAACGCCGCTATAGCGGAGCTACGACAGATAGCGGTTTTTAAGAAAACTATGAAAAATTCAAGTCATTGATTTGTAAAAACACAGGAATCGTGAAATTTAGTGAACACAAATATATTTTCAAGGCTTTAAGAGTTTAGGGAATATTATTTAAAATGGCATTATAGGGTGATTAGTAAAATTCAAGTGTTGAATTTTCCAAAAGACCAACTTAACAGCAAAAGATAACTATAGAATAACTAAATTGTTACTCTAAAAGCTAAAATTGAAATAGTGACGCTATTTTAAAGCTACAGTTAAGCAATTTAGTGACGCTAAAGCATAATATAGCGGTCATAAATGACATAGCAGTAAAATAGGAATAGCTTAGCGCGGGCCCTCTCCGGAAGCTATAGCGGAGCTATAACGGTGCTATAGCCCGCTATTTAAATCCATGCCCCCAACTCACGGGCCTACTTTTGCGGATTGTCAATGGGCCATGTATACGAGTGGGTCGAGTTGGATTGGATTGGCCTGTAAAAGGGTTGGGCCATTGCCATGGCCCGAGTCGGTGGAAGGATCCTAGAAACGGAGGGGCCGGGCGGGTCCTTGGGAGCTGAGAGGCGGCGGCGGCACAGGTTTAGGAGTCAGCGGTGGCACGAGTTGAGGAGTCGGGGCGGCGGCAGCAGTGATTCCTCAGGCCCCATCGCATCTCCATCTGTTGCCAGGATCCATCCTCCGGCGCGCAGCGCGCCTCTCCGCAGCCAAGCCCGCCAAGGTCTCCGTGCCCGCACCGTCCAAGAAGAAGAAGCCCTCCTCGTATTGGATGTATATGTATGATCTAGGCATTGGAATTTATATTTTTTGTTTTTTAATTCATTATCATAGATGCGTGTTGGCTATGTGCGTCTGTGATAGGGTTACTACAGACATGTCTTTGCTGCACAAGTCTGTTCTATAACCTAATTATAGACGTGTGTTTGTATAACATAGACGCTTGTTGGTAACATGTGTCTGTAGTAGATGCTTATTACAAATGCGTAATAAGCCCTTATTAGCAGACGCGCCTAAACACGTCTGTAATGTGTCTAAACGAGCGTCTGTAATGTCGATTTTTTACATAGTGAAAAATATCAGAGAGAGATGCTAGCATCCTAGCTGAATTGTCAGTTCTTGTGACAGCTCCGCTACATGGAGATTGGAGATAAAAAAGAAAAGTTGAAGTTTCTAACCAAACCTTTTTTAGAACAATGAAATTGGTACGAAGTGGACCTCTCTGTACTTGAAATACGATATGATCTTTTACAAAATCATTTGTACACACTTTTTTTTTTCTCTCGCTGGAAGTAAAGAACATCAAACAACAGGAAGGAGAAAGAACCTTAATCGACGCGAGAAGCTGGTTGAGGACGATCGTGATGATGAATTGATGATGGACACAACACTCAAAATTGGTTTGAAGAACATCAAGGGGTGCCTCCTTAACTGCAGCAGCAGCAGCAGCCATGGATGGATGAGGACGACGATGATGGAAAGACCACCATCGAAACTGACCAACCAATTCCCTGCAGACATCAGTTCCGTCCATCCAAGGATGCCCTGACAGACATGGGAATGCCGGATTGGAGTCGACACTGCCTGCAGCCAAGGCCGAACTGAGATGAGATCCATACTCTACTCCCAATCCGAAACGGTGGTCATGGCGGTGGAGGAGCAGCGAGGGGCTGCGGCTGCGGGCTGGCGACAAAAGGGTGCTGCAGTAGCTGCGCGGCCGTCGGCCGCTTGGACGGGTTCTTCTGCAGGCAGCAGCTAATGAATCCCCTGAACTCGGGCGAGGCGGTGGTCGGTGGCTCAGGCGGATCGGAGTAGCAGATGGCGCACATGAGCTTGGCCCAGTCCCCCTGCTTGCCGAGGTTCTCCCCGAAGGGGAACCTGCCCAGGTACAACTCGAGAATGCTGAGGCCGAAGCTCCAGATGTCACCGGCGTAGCCGTCGTAGCTGCCGTCTTTGAGGTCGGTGTTGATCCGCTCGGGGCTCATGTAGGCGATGGTGCCGACGGAGGAGCTGGAGGGGTCCATGGTCTGGTTGAGGATGCGCCCGACGCCAAAGTCGGCGATCTTGACGCGGCGCGCCGAGTCGATGAGGAGGTTGGAGGGCTTGATGTCGCGGTGCACGATGTGGCGGCGGTGGAGGTAGGCGATCCCGAACAGGACCTGGCGCGCGACGTCGGCGAGGAACGGCTCGGCAGCGATGCGGTGGCCGTCGAGGGAGCCGCCATCCATGTACTCGAGCAGGATCTGCAGCTCCCCGCCGCAGTCGTACATGCCGTGGCAGCGCACCACGGCCGGGTGCTCGGCGGTGCGGAGGATGGCGATCTGTCGCGCGATTTGGCGCCGCACCGCGTTGTCGTGGTTCCCGTAGAGCACCTTGAGCGCGTAGAGCCGCCCCGTGCCGCGGTGCCGCACCATCCACACCGTCCCGCCGGCGCCGCTGCCGACGCGGCGCACGCGCTCCAGCTCCGCGAGCGGGGGCGGCTGCTGCCGGTGCGCGGCGGCGGCGGCAGGAGCGGGGACGCTCGGCGGGGTGGGACCCCCGGCGGAGGTGGCGGCCTCGCGCTGGGGCATGGGGAGGGTGAGATTCGGCGTGCCGGGCTGCTGGGACGAGTGCTCGGACATCCCGCCCAACGAGTGCTGGGACGCGTCGCCGCTCTGCAGCAGCTGCGGCGCCTTCTGCGGCCACCTCGCGTGGTTGTGCGTGCCCTTGTAGACAGTCTCGGAGATCTGGCCATCCTGCGACGTCTCCACCTCCTTCTTGGCAGGGCAGATCGGGAAGGTGCACTTGTAGTAGCTGCGCGGGTACTCACCCACCTTCACCGCCTTCTGGCTGTACTTGCGCCAGTTGTAGCCATCGTCCGACGACCGCCTATCCGCCATCGCCTGGAACGGCACGATGAAGACTTGTTTTCTTGTTGAACTTGCATCGTTGGATTGCGACACTTCTTCAACAACTGCAGCTACCTCGTCTAGCTCACTTTTTTTATGCCACCTGCAGAGATTGTGTAACATATACCCAATACATTAATATTATGTTTCATGTTAGTGTTCTTATTTTGATAGTGGGTATTATATTAGATGTATCACATTTGCATATCACGTCTATGTTTAGTCATGGAAATTAGAATTGATAGTAACTTCAATAGAAATTTCAGCCATACAAACTAGAACGCTATAACCAAAAACATAGCAAATAGGTGGTTTACTCCTGCAATCACATGAGCTGATCGGCTACATTTTAAGATTATAAGAGGAAAAAAGGTAAACATCACCTAAAAGATTTGTTTTTCATACAGTTTTTCACCTAAAAGCGCTATCTAGTATGTGTTGAGAAATAAAAGATGTAGAACTAGTCATTATCAGATCTTCTATAAAAATTGATGCACGCCAGAAATCTTAACCATGACTAAATCCAGCAGATTAAACTTGACCAAGTAAATAAAGTATTGAACCTCGACACTCCTCTTATCTTGATGTTATTAAAGTCTACAATCTGAAAGTATAGCAATCTCATTTGAAATTTCTTCAGCTAGTTTGGAAACTGCTTTAGGCTAAGGGAAACACACCAGCCCAGGACACAATCAAGTAGCTAGCAACAGTTTATTGTAACGTTTCAGTGAAACTACAAGGAGAAGAAAGGCACATACTCTTCGTCAAACAAACCCACAATTCGTAGGTTGAAGTTTATAAGTCTTGAATGCTTGCTAATGGCATCCTTGAACACAGATTCCACAGCTATTCTGTCGGATTCTTCTGCATCCGGTGCTGCCCCAATTCGGCCAGTGATCTCTTGGAGGTTTAACAGGTGTTCAATGCCGGCAAGCATATTACCATTTTGCTCTCCACTGTGGGCATTGAATTCAAGATTCAGACTCCGAAGCCTAGGCATTGCTTCTGGCTGAAAAGCAATGCGCATAATGCCACATCTGAATTTGAAAAACTTTAGAACAGGAAATGCTGCACGATGGAAGACAATCTGTTCTGCTGTTGGTTGCCTGACGTACAGAGAGAGAATGGTGAGTTCCTGTAACTTGGCGATGCTGTCAACATCACCTGTCGTAAATTCCCTAAGAACAATTTTCAAAATGCTTAGCTTCCGGAGCTGTCCAATCCATACGGGGAGTCTTGAAAAGATGCAAAAGGGCGGCAACAACTCAAGTCTCTGCAGGAAGACGGACAGAGAAGATGTGCTCCATGAGCAATCCAAGTAAATGCTTGTGCACGAAGGAACAGGTGCAAGAATTATAGATTTTAGGTTGCCAAGTTTCTCAAGGGAAGAAACGAAAGCTATCAACTTCCTCTTGAGAGGGTCAGACATTTCTGTAGGACTTGTGGCATGAAGATCACGCAGGTCTGTCATCTTACCAAGTTTCCATATATTATCTTCAGAGTTACTGCTGAGGTCAAAAGATTCAAGTGTGCGTAGAGATCTCCTGTGGCCTATACCACTGGACAGATTTATCTCACCATGTACAGAGAGGTGCAACAATCTCGGGAGACTAACAATATCTGATGGAACAGAAGTTATTCTTGCATAAATTTCCAGTGTTTGCAAATATGGCAGTCCAATCATGCTGGCTGGTAGTTTCACAGTGATGTTAGATGTAATACGCATATACCTCAGCTGAAACAATCTGTCGATACCACTGAGGTCTAGCTCCTCTTGGTCACCCCAAACTTCAAGAATAAGTACTCGAAGTACCTGAAACTCCCTAATCGAAGGGAGGCATTCAACAAGTCCATAAAAGACAAGTGACCGCACAGGGGATAGTGTAATGCTTTCTGGTTTCGTTGCATATTTGGCACTACTGAATCTGAGAGATAGTCGTCGAACCTTTACAGAAAGCTCTGAGATGGTATTAGAGTAGTCTATCATAGTGCTGAAGTTCTCTTCATTGGACATGGTCCTAATAACTTCGAATACAGTGGAGTGCAGTGTATATAAAATCACCTCACCTGAGATACTGGTATGATTGGGCTGTATCAGTCCCCTGTAGATAAGCTCATCAAAATAGCACTCTGCAACTTCATCACAGTTTTTCTCTTCTACTGCAATTATAAAACCTTCGGCACTCCATTGTTTCACCATGTCAGCCTTCAAGAATGTATAACCCTCAGGATACATACTAAGATATAGTAGGCATGTCTTCAAATGGTGAGGAAGCCTATTGAAGCTCAGACCAACTATTTCTCTTAGCATGACTTCTGAAGTAAGATTATTATATCTGAATCTGCAAAATAATGCTTCTTTGACATGTTGCCACAGCTCTAAGTTATCTGGTTGGCTAGCTAAAATGCTAGCTAAGCTAATGGTCGCAAATGGCAGACCACCACATGTTCTTAAAATTTCTTCTGAGTTTTCCTTCAATTGTTTAGAGAGCTCATGTTCAAAGCCAAACACTCTATTGAAGAACAATTCTCTGGAGTAATTTCCACTAAGTGGCTCCATCTTAAAAATAGCATCAGATCCATAATCACAGCACTCCAGAGCTACTTCCTCAGTATCTGTAGTTATTAATATTCTGCTACAATGAGTGTCCTCTGGAAGTGCACTGATAACAATATCCCATGATGTTGTTTCCGACAAACCATCTATTACAATGAAATACCTGCCAAATATTTTTATAATTATTATGTGCCAGGCTAGGTGCAATATAAAAATTACAAAAACATGACAATCCAAACTTATGGAACATAAGGATTATATTTGCATTGGGTTTCCAGTTTCCCTAATAATTCCAAATTTTCTTATTTGACCTGATGAACTTGCACACCTGGTTTGACTTTGTAGGCTCAAAATATTGGTATTTACTTTTATCACGATCTCACAGTTTAAACGTCAAACTCCACTGTGTTACGAGAAACAGAAATGATAAGTTTATTGTCAGTAGTGACATCTATATTTTTTTTTGTTTTTTCCTTTTCCTTACGATTCATGAGTTGTCAGATTTTCTCATTGTTGCTATTCATACTCACTGTAGCAGCTATAGCCGGAGATGGAGCCACTTAGTATATCAAGATTTACCTATGCACTGAATTCATAATCACATACTCGAAATTCAGTGCATAGGTAAATCGGCTAGTATATCAAGATTTTCTTTTCAGAATTTTTTCCTGTTGATCCAGTGATTGGTGAACCTCTACCATTTCATCATATAAATGCTGAAAACAGAAAGCCAATCATACTTTTGGAAAAGGAGGAAGCACTGCTTAACATGCACTTATACCTCTTTTGTTGGAGATGTGTTCTTAGGATGTCAATGAGCTCTTGCACGGGGAGGCCATCAGGGGGTCTTTGATGGTGACCCTGGATTTGGGAGATGATGTTACCGAGAAGCCTCCTTGTATCAGGCATCTTTGAGGCTCGAACAAAAGCTCGACACTCGAACTGTCCTTCCACTTCACGATACACTTGTTTGGCAAGTGTAGTCTTACCAACACCTGGAGGTCCTTGTATGGATACTACTAGCCTCTGTTCGGCGTCTATGTTAAGCCGCTTGATAAGTTCAGCCTTGGAATCATTGATACCAACAAGGTCTGTGGCGTCCCCGTTGAGCCTTGGAACCGGGCCATGCCCACCATGGATCACAAATCTAGGATTCGATGCCCAACGCCCAAGATCGTACCTGTTGTGTCGTTCCAGGGTGTCCTTTGCCTGCTTCACAAGAGTGCTTAATTCTTCTACCGCAGGCTCCGAGCGAGACTCTTCACTGGAATCGGGGCTAGGATGCATCCTCTTGTCAATATAGTCCTCAATATCGTAGGAAAGATCACGCACCTCGTTCATCCAGTGCCTCACCATCATGTTGGGAGCTTCGACCCATGACAGATTGGTGAGGAAGGTGTTTATTTCTTCTAGATCTTGGTTGAGGAGGTCGAGCTTGTCCTTCTGTGAGTTCAATGGCTCTGGCACCTGATCCTCTGCAGAGACCAGCAGGGAACGGAGCTTCCCAAGAAGGGATCTCATGGCACCTAGCGATGAACTGAACATAGGACCCTCCATCTCACATAGGAAGAAACCAGAGAATTGAGATGAGTATTGGTGGTTATCTACTCCACACCATCTGGAGTTCTGGACTTGGATTGGCACCACAAATAGCCAATAATCCCTGAGACCCACCAGGTTCTGTAAAATTGTGCTACTTCTTTTTCTTTATCATTATTCTTATTTTTCTATTTACACTAGTGTCCGTGCAATAGTACAATGCTCTTATCAATAATGGAAAATGGCAGAAGCCACCATAAAAGAAAATTTAATTTTAAGATTTCCCAGCGGTTTGGTTGTCCGGGTGACCGGGTCTACGGTGTACTCAACAGTCAACACCCGTTTCAGTGATGTGGACACATGACGTGCTAGCTCAACAACATTGCCTATCGAAGATTAAAGAACCACTGAAAAGACTGCAAAGGAAAATGACACATTTAAACATCTTCGCCATACAAAGCTTCGAAGACCGTAAAATCCACTCGCTGCTGATAACGAGATCTAGAACCCACTAAAATAATATCGGTCGGAGGAACTCTCCAAGAAACACAGACTTATAATCTTCACCATCATGACAGAGTTAGATGTCATTTTTTGTCATATCGTCCTTTTGTACAAACTATTGTTTTCCTTAATATATATCAAATATGAGACTCTCTTGACTGTCTTTCTCAACAAAAAAAAATCACAAAACAGTACTAGCCAACTGCCACGAGGAGGAAGTTGTTTAATTTAGCCCCAAAAATACTAAAATATTAAAAAGAGCCAGTCCTGAACAAGATTTTCAGAAGTCTTTTTCATGACCCTAGAGACCATAGTGCGTCTAGTAACCTCTATCGCGTTATATGCATTAGCGTGACTAACACGCTGGCATATCCACAAAACACTTTCCATGTAAACCACTGACGTAGCATGATATTAAGTCGCGCCACCGCGGATGATGTGACTGGCCAGCTCAGTCATGCCAAAGTGGATTGCGACTTGCCAACAAAGTCATGCCAAAGTGGATGGTGTGACTAGCCAAGTAACTCACTGCCGACTTTAATCAGGTATGAAAATTATATATTTTTATAGGTCCTCAAAGAAAGCCACGGAGCTTGATATTTAACTATAGCAACACATGAATATGTGAAAATTAAAGTTACATTATGTTCACATCTAAATGTTTCTATGGTTTGCAATGACAAAAAAAATCTTTCAGGATTGTATTTTAACTTGATACCGATTTAATAGTATATTGTCATATTATTGCCAAATTTATATTATGGATGCCATGGTGATATAAAACAATTAGAGATTTAAAATTTTATAGAAAGGATAAAATATAAATAGAGATATATCATTCTCGTCGTTGTTCTTCACGAACATTTGGTAGTTTTTATTTTCCCATTGCAAAGCAGGACATGTTTTCTAGTATATTATATGTAATATAAAGAGTGAAAATTTCTCCCTCTCAGTCTACCGTTCTTATTCTCAACCCTCTTGTTCTCGTCTCTCACTCTCTTCACCATCTGTCCGTCCCTCACTCTCACCCTCCTCGATCCACCGTTCCTGTAACACCCCAGGTGTTTGGCTTCCACAATTGCACTTGCATTTCATAAACATGAGCATCATTCATCCATTTATGAGTTCATATTGCATGAAACATGCTCTTGAAACATTGTAGCATATGGTCATATATCATGTATGTTTGTTTATGAAATGAATAGGGTGCAACACTCAAGTGCAAACAGATACAACACACTTTAGTGAAACATGGTTAGTTAGTACTATGCAACAAGATCATGAAACATGTGAAACATGTGAAACATGACTATGAAACAATTGTAACATTTCATGTGATTTTCATTGTTTCAGTACATACCTTGCTTGATTCTTGTGTGACCAATGTATGGTGTGGCTAAATATCCTTCTAAGAACCTTAGTCATACATAGAATGTCATTAGAAATAATGTTCATGTTGATCATTTTGCCTAATTAGGTTTCCAAGTCATGGTTGACCAAATTGGACCCCTAGAGCTCCTGTGTTTGACTGTTTAAAAAGTGTAGCTTAGGATGTTTGCATGTCTAAGCAACCTAAAGCAAAGTTGTAGAGAATTATATGTGGAACAAAAGTTCTTTTATGACCATCTCATGAAAATGTGCACAACATGTTCAAAAAGGTCCCACAAGTCAGAATTAGGGCTGTATTCAAAACTCTGAAAATTTTCTAAGTCATAGTTGCAGTTACTGTTTGTTGGAGCCGACTTTGGCTTGATGTAACTCGTGATACTTTGCGATTTAGCTGAAGGTTTCTATATAACAATTGTAGACCTATCATAGCTCTGAAACTTTGATTTAGGGATGTTTTACAAACTCGCCACTGATTTTGAGTTTGAACGTGTTGAAAACTCGCTGTCAGTCGGTTCATTGGGTTACTGAATCAAAAATTTCAGCCGGCAGTGGCCGACCGGCGTCAGGCCGTCGTCGCCGCGTGGCCTCCACGCGCCTTGCTCGCCCTGACCACGCCGCGCGCTGACTGGCTTGAAGTGGAGCGCGCCCTGCTGCCCTCCGCACGCGCTCTGCCATTCCATTTCTCCTCCTTCGCCTCCACCGCAAGCAGCGACCGAGCTCAGCGCCCGCCATTGCTGCTGAGCGAGCTCCGCCTCCGTCCAGCTCCCTTGCCTCACCACCTTTGTCCGATTGATCACGGCCATAGCTCCGCCACCATCACCTCTACGATCTCCACCTCTTCACGCTCGTGTTGCCCCGTTTGGTGAGCCACATTTTGCGATGCGCTCGAGCGGGAGGCCGGCCAAAGCGCCGCCGCTCGCACGGCCATCGTGGCTCCATCTCCCTGTTCCCTCTCTCGCTGAGCTCTCTACCATCCTAGTACCCTCCTAGCTTGCTGGTGCTCGGGTAGGAGTAACGTTAGGCGCTACCGTGTGTGCATGCCGGAACGGCGGTCGCTTCTCGCCACGGCCGCCATGGCCGCATACATGAGCTCACCGTCGCTGGCCATGCCTGGCTCGTCTCCGTTCTAGCTAGCGCAAGCATGAGCTTCCCTGTTAGCTATAGTTTCTACCCTCTAGATGTAGTTCGGTGATTCGCTGTATTCACGCCGGGCCGCTGACCTCGTCGGCGTACCCAGAGCGTCGCCGCCGGGCCGGCAGACATGGCTGTGCACCACGATCGCACCTCGGAACCATAGTTCGCCTAGGAAGCTTCGCCGTGGTCTCATGGAGCTCGTACCGAGCTCGAGAGGGACAATGGCGGGTCGCCGTCGTCGGAGCGCCGCCGTACATTTTGCGACCGTCACGCTCTCTGCCGGCAAGGCTAGGGTTAGGAATAGGTCGAGTTCTTGGTACCGATCGGTGCGGGTTGCTTAGGGGAGCACGTTGGTACACTCGATTTCGCCGGAGGAGCCGCCGCCGGCGAGCCTCGCCGTGTGCCGCGCCGTCGCGTGCGCCTCCTCTGTTTCGTCTCGCTGACCGGTGGGTCCGGCTGACAGCCGGGTCCCACTCGTCAATGACTGTTTGTTTCTAAGGATAGCTCAAAAATGCAGTTTTGAATGCTAATTTGATATTTTTGTATCTCCTGTTTTGTAGATCCAAATTGGATGGTTCAAATTTTGTTAGATTCACAGTTAGATCTAGTATTTAAGAAAAATATGTCTTGAGCACATTATGTAGAAATTTTGGATGAATTAAATAGGAACTTGAAAAGTGTTTTTGAATGCATGCAAACTTGTTTAAATCATATCTTGAGTTTCTGTGATCCAAAAATTATGAAATTTTGTGGGTAAGCTAGTCTTGTATAGTATAAGCTCTGGTTAAAATTTTACAGTCATTGCATGTGTAGTTTTTGAGTTATAGATTTTCCTTTTATCACTGGTAGATACTTGGGTGAATTTTTGTAAATTATCTATGATTCCAATGACCATGAAATTTGTTGGAGAATGTCCTAGTACCTTAAGGATGCAAGGAAAAATATGAAATCTGTTGCTTGACACTTTTCACTAAGGTTTCCTAATTATGCCATTTTAAGCCATTCTGCCTTACCATTTTTGTGTAGGTTGTTATACTTACTCAAATGGTGTGAAATTTTTATGGTAGTCTACTTAGAGCATGTAGTGTCTACTGTAATTTTTGTAGAATTAATGGGGCAGTTTTCATATATGTTTACTATTTCCCCTAATTAATTAAATAAATTAAGAAAGGTATTAAAAGAAATGTTTTGGTGATGGACACCCTACTTTATGGTGTTCTTGTGATATGTGTGATATGTCAGTAAAGTTGGTTTTGTCCAATTAAGCGTTTATATCATAAGTTAACAATTATTTATTTGCATCATGTCCCTCTGGACAGATCTGGGAACTTTGGAAAGTTCCCCATGATAATTTGGTTTTCTGTGATTGTGATGAATACAAAAGTTGTAGATAATTTATGTATCTAGCTCCTGTCAAAATTTGAGGGCATTTGGCCTAATAATTTAGAAACTACAGCTGTTTAAAGTTAGGTTCCAGTTTTGCTTACTCTCTGCCTTGTGAGGACATGGTTCTGTTGATTTATGAATTCGACTTGGTAAAGTGTTGAATCATACTTTGAGGTCTAAAAATGAATTGTAGACAATTTCATAAGCTTTCCATATTGTCTTGTTTCATGTCATTTGGAATTATAAATCTCCAGTTATGGCTAGTTTACTGTACCGCTACATAGTCTGCATTTTGCTGAAATACAAATGCTTGAGTGTATGTTGTTGCAATGTAATCGTTGATTGTTTAGGGGTTAGCCTAACTTGAGAATATGCTTAGGTGCAGGTGCTAGGTCCTTAACTAAAGATGAGCAATTATACATTAGGTTGTATAAACTTAGTAAGTAAAGTGATTTGAATAGGGCTTAAGTTGGAATATGCAAACTACAGCGAACATGTGCATTCCCCGAGCATCCCTGACATTCGTTCATGTGCATCCATGATATTTATCTTGCACATTCATGCAATAGGTGTGCCGGAGGGAGTGACGTTGCTGGAGTTCGAGGGAGCCAACCAGGAGGAGGAACCCGAGGTGCAGGAAGCCGACAAGCGATCGCCATGGAGGAATTGCCCGAGTGCCACGACCACCGGCCTTCCTCGCTTCTGAAAAGGCAAGCCCGGAGCATATTAAGCCTCCCATGTTTTTACAAATACTTTGAGTAATTTTTATTGTTGATGATGCATTAAGTATAGGAATTGGTTGGAACCAATTGCTGCATTATATATCTTTCTTGTCCAGATATATATGACCGAATCCTATTTAAGTTCAGAACGGGTTAAATGCTTAGCCATGCTTAGTGCGGTAGAAGTCGGTGATTTCGTCACCTACGAGCTTTAGGATGAGGTGGATTACGGTTGGTTATATTTGCTATCGTGGAAAAGAACCATGTGATTAATGAATTAAGACCGCGGCGAGTCTTGTGTAGGTTTGAACATAGTGACTCCGTCTCGAAGTCGTTTAAGAACCGATACGTCAGACGTCCTCATGTCATGTTGAATGCAGCCTAACACTTAGCTGGCGGATAAGTCGTTCGACCATGAAGCCTAGTAGCTCGACTCAGGCCGGGACGCGCGGCGATGGCGGCATTCTCGAGGTAGTAAGGATGTGCGGAGAGCCATTGGCATAAGTCCAAGGTGGGTTAGAGTCCCGAACAACCTTGGCAAGAGTAGTTCTCTAAGAATGTCGATCCGATCGGACTCGCGACTCTGAATCGCACTAAAGGTGACTTGTTTTGCGACTCGACGGGAGAAGCAGGTTTGTGTTTAGGAATACCCTCCAATTTGGATAGGAATCGATTGAATCGCCGTCTCTCCCGGATAGTGAGAACTTGACTGAGCAGCGGCAACGTAGATTCAATTAATTTAACGATATGGTTAAATGGATGATGATGATAAGGTTGCCACAATGAATACCTGATATGGTTATTAATGTTTGCACCCTAATAAAATGATTGCTTAGTACAGGTACTAATATAGTTGACAGGTTAATGGCTAAAAAGTCACTGCTAGTTTAGGTTAAGAGTTAATCATTATTACTTATGCTTTTCTGCAAAAAGAAAGTGTCACCCAGATCCACTACATTAAGCTATGCATAATCCTTGGTGTCATTTATTTTGGTTTCTGACGGGTAAGTCTAGCTGAGTACATTCCCGTACTCAGGGTTTATTCCCTCTTGTTGCAGATAACCTTCTATATCAGGGATTCTGTAAGTATTGTCTCCACCCGGCGGGTGATGAAGACTAGATCATGGGTATGATCTCTGTTCTCTTATCTGAATGCTTTTGCGGGCTGTGATCAGCGAACCAGTATGTGTATTTGAACTCGAGTGTGTGAGTTAAACTATTTGCTTCCGCATGTTTTACAAGACTTGTTTTGTAATAACAATGACTCTGTGATGATGTAATCTATTTGCGAACGTCTGCGAAATGTTGTAACGTACGATATGTTATGTTGAATTACTGTGATCTTGGTTGTATGCAAGTTGGTTTGAAATCCTTCGAGATTTCAGTTGACTACCGGGTTTATATGGGCTCAAGTTCGAGAATTTGATCGTTTCGACGATTGTTTTTGTCCTTGTGCTCTTATAAATTGGTCGGTTCTGTGACAGTTCCTCACTCTCACCCATCTTCTTTTTGTCTCTCACTCTCTTCACTATCCATATGTCCCTGACTCACAACCTTCTAGGTTCACTGTTCCTCATTATCACCTCTCCTTTAGTCTTTCACTCTCCTCACCATCCATCCATCCCATACTTTCACCCTTCTCAGTTCGAGGTTGGAGCCACAAAACCTTTATTAGCGCCAAACATCTTAAGCCATGACTTGGTCGCACTAAACCCATTCATGTCAAGGACATATGTCTCGCCTTCCACCTTTCTTATAAACTCACATCATGTTCACACAATAACCACCTATTTAAGTTGAGTCAGCCTTTTCTATATGGGATTCTTTATTGCACTAGCATCTCCTATGACTCTTGGAATTTATTTGATTTATGATTGAATCAGGCCCAATCAAACTGAATAAAAATAGCTAGCTCATTATTATCAGCACAAGCACAACACAACAAATTTTACATTCCATTACAATGTAAATACTTATTTACTAGTTATTATAAAAAGAACAAAATCCCTATTTATCACGCCTCCAATTTTAAGCTCTACTTCGGATCAATAGTTTGAACGTGAAAGCAACAAAAGTGAGACTTCTTTTTTCTTTTGTCTAGAATAGAAAGAGAACTAGTCAAATGTGTCCATAGGTCCAAAATAATAGATCTCTAGGGTGCATAAACCTAGACAGTGCCAAAGGGTAATAATTATTTATGCATAAGGACAAAGAAGCAAAACTCAAAGGGTTGACCCACAAAACAAAGAAAAGGAAAAAAACAAAGATAGAAGAAGGCACGGCAATTCCTTATATGCCCTCATTCTGAAGATTCTTGTGATTTGCTAACAGAATTCGCATATCACAACGATGACCCTGCAGTTGGTGAACGAAACCTTCCCCTACCCCTAACGCCATCTCTCATGGCAAGAAACCAGGGCATATACAACGATGACCCTGCAGTGGTCATTATCTACTCCACACCATCTGGAGTTCTGGACTTGGACTGGCACCACAAATGCAAATCTGAGAGTGGAAAGAGAACCAGGGAAGTAGTGGGAACAATAGTGGTGCCAATCCCCACCAGGTTCTGTCAAATTGTGCTACTTCTTTTTCTTTCTTATTTTTCTATGACCGTGATGGTCAACACTAAAAGGCTTTGTTGTTGTTGGTGGTGGTGGTGATGGTCCAACACTAATGCCTAGTGGCAGTACAATAACACAATGCTCTTATCAATAATGGAAAATGGCAGAAGCCACCATAAACGAAAATTTAATTTTATAAGATTCCCCAGCTGTTTGGTTGTCCGGGTGACGGGGTCTACGACGTCGGTGTGCTCAACACCCATTTCAGTGATGTGGACGCATGACGTGCTAGCTCAACAAAATCACAGAACAGTACTAGTCAAGTGCCATGAGGAAGATTTTTTTTAGCGCCGCCAGTTCTGACCTCTACTTCGGATCAATAGTTTGAAACGTTCTTTTTCTTTTGTCTAGAATAGAAAGAGAAAGGTCAAATGTGTCCATAGGTCCAAATTAATAGATTTCTAGGGTGCCTTTTTTGAAACTTAGACAAGGCCAAAGTGTAATAATTGTTTATGCAATGAAACGGACAAAGAAGCATGACCCAAAGGGTTGACCCACCAAATAACGAAAAGGAAAATTAAACTAAAGACAGGAGAAGACATGACAATTGCTTATATGCCCTCATTCTAAAGATTCTTGTGATTTGCTAACATAATTCGCATATCAGAATGATGACCCTGCAGTTGGTGAACGAAATCTTCCCTTACCCCTAACGCCGTGAGGCACTGTTTATATTACCCAACTAAAACATATTTCAAAAGAGATAAAAGGAAAGGCAGATTGGAATGCTAAAAGACCAGTGTACCGCCCACGTTTCACTTTCTGATTTTCTCCTGTCCACTATTTCCCGCAATTCTCCCAATAAGGGCCTGTTCGTTTTACTTCAAAACCAAAGGGATTGGGAGGGATTGAGGCGGGTTAAATCCCCTACAAGTCAAAATCCTCATCAATCCCCTCTAATCCCCATAGTTTAGGGACAAAACGAACAGGGAGTAAATAAGGACTCCGGTCTCGTGGCTCGTTGCTCCCAGTGTCACACACGCCGACACGGATGGGAGGAGCTGGTTGATGCCAGCAAGCCTTGACAGGCTTTCACCGACGACTTTTCTGATGTTACAAAAGAGTCGGATATTGCTGAAGTCAGATGCTTTGCGTACAGAATTTGTGCTTGTTTTGTTGTATGCAGAAAGGAGTCTCCTGCGTGTTCGAGAAAAAAGAGAGAGGAACAAGACAGGGGTATTGTTGTCTTTTGTTGAATTCTAACGGTGTTAGCCCTTGGTTTCTAAACCAACCACGAAAAGAGACCATTATATATATCACAAAAATGAGTGCATCTCTCCCAAGTCACGGTCAAAGTCTCCTCCCCTCACCACCGAACTCCATCTGGAGCACAACGTCAGGTGCGTAATAATAGCTACAGCTCTCAATAGATGAGGCTTAACATCATGTAAGGGTGAATTACTTCATAGGCTAGTTTAGATTCTCCAAGCCTGATCCTGGTACAGCTCTTAGGTTTATTGTAGTTGAGTAATACTAGTCTGTTCTGGAGTCTTATGAGGTGCTGATTATGCATTGATTATTAAAGATCGGTTTGCATCTTTCTGAGGGACTAATTATGTGTAGATTTTTCCTCACAAATAGTCGACCAATGATTTTTAAAGATCTTGTAATATCTCTCATCAACAATTCTCCCAGAAATCATAGTTAGAACTTCACATCTGGCACTCACTCTGCTCCTCGAATCCTGCTCTCCTCTCCCATTCACACTGCACAGTTTCACCCTTAATACCGCATCTGTAGCCAAGTATAGTAGTTTTGATCCACAAAGCTTGTTTCTCATGATTTATCCTTGTTACAATTTTTACTTTCAGGGGTTATAGTGTGAATATCAGTGGTTATACCAATACCCCAGCACTGACATAAATTCTTTGGAAGTGTTCACTACATGTAACCTTTGGATTCCTGTGCTGGAATCTTAAGGTAATACTAGGCACTAATTTAATATTATTTCATATATATGATATATGTACTGTAAAATGTGCTGCAAACAACATTATCTTACCAAATGCAATTTACTCTCAGATGCAAAGCCGGATGTGGTCATCTCCCCTGCTACAAGATGCTCCTTAAGTTTTATGTGCTCTCTTGTCTGTTTTATTCAACCCATCGTCAGTATGCGCAAAGCTAGGTGCACTTCATCTCCACACCACTAGGAACCGTCAGTGACTAAGAACCACTGTGATCGATGGAGGACCTGGGCCTGTTGAGTGCATTTCTAGACAACCTCGTGTCGAGATTGTTCTCGATGGCAGAGGAGAAATACAAGCTGTACAAGGGCTTTGAAGGAGATCTGGCTTTTCTGAAGAGTGAGCTTAAAATGATCGCTAGTGCCATTGATGGGCAGCTCTTGGGGCAGGATGATCACATACTGCGTTTGTCCGTTGAAGAGTTGCGCCAAGTAGCTCATGAAATGGAGGACTGTATAGACCACATCGTGTATGATGCATCTTGGGAACAGCAACAACCATGGTACTGCAAAATGGTCAAAACTGGGAAGAAGAGAAAATCACGCTTACAGTTAGGCGAAGAGATGCAGCAACTAAGGTGCAGATTGGAGGAAGCACTCCAACGGCAACAGAGGTATTCAGTGTCCCGTCCATCCACATTCCAGCCGGCAGAATCATCCTTGAATCAGCATATCCTTCCGGCTGATTTGGTTGGCATCAAGCCACCCCTTGAGGAGCTTCTGGAGCAGTTGTCAGAATTTGAAGGTCAACCCAAGCAGTTGAAAGTGATCTCAATAGTTGGCTTCTGTGGATTGGGGAAGACCATCCTTGCCCGGGAGTTGTACAACAGCGTGATCGGCAAGCAATTCGGTGAAAGGGCATGGGTTTCTGCAGTGCATGGGGATCCGAGCAAGCTCTTAATAGAGATACTCAAGGAACTGCATAAACCACCACCCGATACCTCCGATGTCTACCAGCTTAGTACTGATGTAAGGAACTTCCTAAATAACAAGAGGTAAGAAATTTTCTTCCACCCCTTAGACAACAGAAGACAGTTTCCTACTTAATCAACAACAACAACATAGCATTTCAAGGGTTTCATCTCCATACTAGTGGCTAAGTTTTTACATTGACTCGCCAAGCCTAACACAACCCTCCTCCTTTATCAGGGCTTGGACCTGCTATGCTAGAACACCATAGGCACCCCAACATAGGCGGAGTTAGTTGACTACTTAATAATTTTATGAAAATCTTTCTCTCAAGCCAACTGTAGACAGCATGCAGAGACTTTAGTTATGAGAAAAAGATCCTAGTCAGATAGTTTTGTGGTACAAAATGTATTTGCGGATTCACAAATGATTTAGTAAAATTACTCAAATATGTAAGTAATTTTGCCTACAGCTCTTATAAAACTAAGGAGACTAATAAAAGAACTGCAAAATCCACTCTTGGAATTCTGGCCTCCATATATACTGCACATGCTAATATATATACCACAATAAGGAGCAGTTACTCTTTTTTACTGTAGAAAACATGTATTTATTTCTGAAGGATAACGATGTCAAATGAAAATAAATGATTACCTTTCCTTCACGCGTTGATCACTATGGTGTTGGAGGTTTTTGTTGATTTGTGTATTCTCATTTCACAATATTCCAGGTATTTCATTGTAATTGATGACATGCGGTCAGATCAATGGAGTACTATAAAGTCTGCCTTTCCTCGAGATGTTAGCAGCAGAATATTGGTGACAACGAAAATCAAGTCAGTGGCTAATACTTGCAGCTCTACCAATGGCTATATTCACAAAATGAGAAGACTTGACGAGAAACATTCAAAGCAGTTATTCCTGAAGGAAGCTTGTCCGGTGGAATATTCAGAGTACATGGGGCCTGATTTGGCAGCAATTTTGAAGAAATGTGATGGTCAACCACTCGCTCTGACTACCGTTGGCCAATTCATGGGAAAAAAAGAGTTGGCCAACAGGACATGACTGTGAAGATGTGTGCAACCAGGTACGGTTTTACCATCTACAGAGTGGTGACGATACTTTGGACAGAATGCATCAGGTGCTGATCCATGACTACACCAGTCTTCCAAGCCATGCTCTCAAAGCTTGCTTTCTGTATTTTGCTATGTTTCCAAGTGATTATCCAGTACGGGCGAAAAGGCTAAAGAGGCAATGGTTAGCTGAGGGATTTGTGCGGCCAACAAATTTATGCACTGACCTTGCAGCTGAAAATTTCGAGAAGCTCTTGGACCAGAACATCATCGAACCCATTGATGTGAGCAACAACACAATTGTGAAAACATGCAGAACTTATGGCATGATGCATGAGTACATTACGCTCAAGTCTCTCTATGAAAACTTCATCACTTTGTTCGATGGAGGAGAGCTCCAACCTAAAAATGCCCGTCGTGTTTCTCTCCGTCACAACACTATTACAGATGGTGCCACTTTGAACATCGATCTCTCGCTTGTCAGATCTCTGATAGTATTTGGGGAGGCAGGTAAAACTATGTTGAATTTCAACAAGTACCAACTGCTAAGGGTCTTGGACCTTGAAGACTGTACAGACTTGCAAAATGATCATCTCACAGAAATATGCAACCTATTGCTTCTTAAATATCTGAGCCTAGGAGGAAATGTTACCATCCTTCCCAAAGAGATAAAACAACTGAAACTTTTGGAGACAATCAACCTAAGGAGAACGAATGTAAAGATACTTCCAACTGAAGTTATTCAGCTGCCCCATATAATTCATCTCTTTGGAAAATTCAAGCTTCCAGATAAAGCCATAAATGATGAACTGAAGAAATTTCTTACTTCAGCAAAATGTAAAGTGCAGACACTAGCAGGATTTCTTGTAGATGAAAGTGACGGATTTGCAGAACTTATGGGTCATATGAAAAAATTGCAGAAGGTAAAGATCTGGTGTGAGTCATCTGCAACTAGTACTAAATTGACCACTCTTCAGAAGGCCATACAGGAGTTCATTCATGACGACAAGGATGCAAGCAATGATCCTCGTTCTTTGTCACTCTATTTGGACGGATGCTCTGAAGACTTTCTGAAAGAATTGAAAGCTCCCTGTTATCTCAGGTCGCTGAAATTACAGGGCAGGTTACTGGAACTACCTGGGTTTGTCACAGCACTGCGCCGACTCAGGGAGTTATGCCTTCAGTCAACTAAACTTACAGCTGATCTTCTCTTAGCTTTGACAAATTTGAAGCACCTGCAGTACCTGAAGCTGATTGCTGATGAACTTGAAGAAATCACCATTAAGAACAAGGCATTGCCAAGGCTGCTCTGCCTATGTTTTGTGCTGCAGCGTCCAACATTCCCAAAGATTGAAGAAGGCGCCTTGCCATTTCTTGAATCTCTTCAGCTGCTCTGTAAAGATATGGATGGCCTCTCTGGAATCCAGATTAAAGGTTTCACACGACTGAGGGAAGTAACTCTTGATATTAGAGTCACCAATGGTACTAAAGTGAACTGGGTGAGGGTGGCTAAGGAACATCCGAACAAACCAAAAGTTCTTCTGCTCAAAAGGGCTGTACCAACTGAAGTTTGTCTTCGAGGAGCTTCTGCTTCATTTGGGACAACTGAGAATGGAATTGTAAATTGCTCTGTTCTGTCAGAGGGACAAGTACAGGAAACTGACACCCAAATGCCACATGACGAACAAAATTTTGTTTTCAGTAATATAGGACATCCAGTGGCTTGTGCGGCTGGTTCATCCATTGCTGGCAATGGCACAATGGCTTCCTAATTCTTCATTTCTTACATGAATGACGACGATCGGATCCTCGAGGGAGCATCATGGTCAGCTTTGTGTCCCTTCTCTTTTGCATATCATGTCCAGCCATTTTTGCACCTATAAACACCCAATATACCATGGACTTGTTTAGATCCATTAGAAGTAATAGTTACTCTATATGTTCCAAATTACAGGTCATTCTTGTTTTATCCTATGTCAAACCAATATTTATGACTTAGTATCATTTAGATGCACCATGAAATATATTTTCATAGTATACTTGTTTGGTGTCATAGATGCTAGTACTCTTCATCATAGAGTTTGTCAAACTTAATATAGTTTGACTTAGGACAACTCTAAAAGTTGATTTATTTTGGGACAGAGAGAACATATACTTAGCCATGAACATCTTATAAAAGTTTTTTTACAAAAATATTATTTTTATACTAAGGAAAATGTTCCCTCGAATAAAAAATGACTTTTTGGCTAGGCAATTTTATTGAAATATGTTCATATAAGACAGAAAAGGTGAACCTTTATGAAACTTCTTTTCGAGTTCAATATACTCGTATTATTTGAATATCAAAACTCCATATAAGAAATTGGTAATAGTTTACAGAACTAAGCCAAAACAATCACTTATTTGTGACTGAGTATTAGTTGCTAGAAGTTATTATTTGCTTTCACAAAAACCTTACAAAAACAGGTAGAGGAATCTAAACCTTACAAATCATGCTTATCTAGTTGGGGAACAGTTAAAATTTTCTCTGTTCTTTTCCTCGATGTTATTTGCTTTTGGCAATCATTGATGTAAAAGATAGAAAACATATTTTTGTAAGTCTATATTACCTGTAATTTTGAAAATGAAATATTATCGTAGTAGTTCTCATAGGAAATTTAGTTGTATAGTTAATCTGCATCCTGTGAATGATAGTTCCAAACAAACAAATGGTCAGATTTCAGAGTTTGACCATGTGGACTCTAACGAACAAGAACATAATCACATCTGTGATATGGAGCAAAATACTACTACTTGTGCTTTGTACTGAGTACTGACAACTTAGTTCTTGTTTCCTGAACACTTCTTCTCAATTGGTCTTGTGTTTCCTTTTTTTTTTTTTCTCGAACACTGGTCTTGTGTTTCCTATCCAAAACCATGATCATTGGCATAAAAGAAAACCATAACGTTCATAGAAGTTGCATTGGTTAATTCCTTCAAAAAAATTGCATTGGGTATTCAGTAGTGATGTGAGCTACCTTTGCAACCTAATGTCACCAAATAATGTTAACGAAACTATTAACGCGTTGTTTGGATGCATGTGTATCCATCTCAATCCACATGTGTTGGAGTGGAATGGAATGGAATTTAGTTCAATTCCACTCCAATCCACTTCAACACATGTGGATTGACATGAATACATGCGCATCCAAACAAGGCCTAAGTTGTAAGTCACTATACATTTGTATCCACTGTAATTGCCACTGTTTTGTTTTCCAAAACACCCACTACTTGTTTGGGTTTAGGGATAGGGACTTGGGCTACTTGTTTCCTAATGAAGGTTAGGAATATCCGACTTCATGTGCAAATTGTAATCCTGCCCCTTATGAGAAATAACAAATAATGTATAAGTGGGAATTCTTGTTTTAGTCTTGTAAAACAATTATTCTAGAATTAGCAATTTATCTTTGTAGCTACCTGGATTTTGTAGTACTATGACAGAATAACTGCAAATAAAAGACATGAGAAAATAAAAAGGAAAAATTGGTTCTATAGCACCGAAAGAACTCCACTTCCGTAAAATACCACTGAAAGACGTTCGTCACGTAAAATACCACTGAAAGACACACTGTTACCTCTATCTAGCATTCCGTCACGGTGGGATAGCAATGTCGTGAAATCCACCTCCAAATGCCTGAAAGATAAAAACGCTGGGTCCTGGTCCTCCCCTGTTCGATGTGGAGCTCCAGCACCAGCTCATGCTCCTCCTCGCCGCCGACGGCGGATGCTAGCGGAATTCCAAAGTTGTCGCCGGTCGCACGAGGTGGCCGTCGAGGAGTGCGGCAAGCTGGTTACAGGCAAGAGACGGTGCAGCGAGTGCGGAGTGCCAGCGACAGCGACAACCTAGCTCGCCGGTCGACATGGGTAAGGACGGACCTCCGGAGGAGGCGGCCAAGGCCAAGAATTCGGTGCCGGCGATGCCGTCGTTCGCTGGTGTTCATGCACGCGGACGTAGTGCATGGTGCTGGGCCTGGTGGGCGCAATAGGCGACGGCATGTCCACGTCCGTGATGCTCTTTATCACCAGCCGCATCTTCAACTTCCTCTCCTCTCCTGCTTCTCGACTAATAGAACACGCGGAATCTCGTCTTCTTGGCGCTCGGCAACTGGGTCATGGCGTTCCTAGGTGAGCCGGCCCGCGCTGCACACGCATGCACCCATGCCAATGCCGCCGCTGGCGGTTTGCTTGTGCACGCATGCTGGGGGCACGGCGGAGCGGCATGCACCGTGCTGATAATTGTGGTCCACAAGTGTGGTCGGCCTCACGCTCAAGGCGGCCCATGCGGTGGCGTCGTCCTTGGGCTAGGGGCGCACGCAGGGGGTAGCTTCGCTGCCAGCCGCGGCAGTGCGGGCCAAGAGGCAGCGCTCGTTCAGGTGCAGCTGGTGTCCGTCGAGAACGCAAGAGCTCACAAGTTGCAAGAACCATGAGCACCACGTCCGCTACGTCCGCGAACACCGACGCGAACGACTGCAGCGCCGGCGCCAAATTCTTGGCCTTGGCCGCCTCCTCCGGAGGTCCGTCCTTACCCATGTCGGCCGGCGAGGTTGTTGCTGTCGCTGCCAATCCGCACTCGCCGCACCGTGTCTCACTTGTAACCAGCTTGCCGCGCTCCTCGACGGCCACCTCGTGCGACCCTACGACAACTTTGGAATTTTGCTTGAGCATCCGCCGTCGGCAGCGAGGAGGGGCATGAGCTGGGTGCTCTGGCGCTCCACATCGAACCGAGGAGGACCAGGAGTATGACCTAGCGTTTGTTTCTATCAGGCGTTTGGAGGTGGATTTCACGACGTTGCTGCCGTGACAGAATGCTAGATAGAGGTAATGGTGCTATCTTTCGGTGGTGTTTTACGTGGCGAACGTCTTTCAATTATATTTTACGGAAGCGGAGTTCTTTTGGTGCTACAGAATCAATTTTCCCAAATAAAAAATACAACAAATTTCTTGTTGTACTTTTACACAAAGATAAGTCGCTATTGTTTTATGATGTCTATTTCTGTTTTGCAGCATGAGGTGAACCATTCAGTTGAGGATTCTTGTTAGTGGGTAGAGTTGCTACTTCGGTTTGTCAGACAACGGTGAAGAATATTCCATTTCCTGATGGGTGGAATAAAAAGGACAAGCTATTTATGTGGACACCAGCTAAACTGTGCTCCTGATGCAGTCACTAAATCTCCTCCATTATGGATCACTAAACTATCTAATCAAATAAGTTTATTTTACTGCCTAAATGACTCCACTCTTGAGTCATGGTTATAATCCTTTTTCCATCGTATATGAATGAGTGAATTTAGTACTCAGGACAATGGTATGTAAACCAGGATTCGTTCCTGCAGACCTGCACATTGCTGCAGGTCTGAACTCTCTCTCTTTCCCTTTAGAATATGTAATAAATGAAGATGGTTCATTTGATGATTTACTCAAGAGGATCGTGATGTGACCAAAAAAAAAAACGCTAGAAACCTTCTACGGATTACTAATCACTGAAACATAATCATGAGTAAGTAACGAAATTGGAAAACATTGTCCTTTTCTGGGGCAAAGCCGCCAATGATGGTTGGAGATTTGTTCTGTTCATTCGCTTCAGTAGTGTTTGATTGGAACCAACGCAAAAGGAATCAAACTGGAGAGATCAGAGATGGGAGTGGGCAATCACCTGGGTTCAAAACCATAGGGATTCAGCGTCGGTGCGATGCGGCACGCTTGGCCGCCTGTGGTTGCAGTCCCCTGCTCCCAGCCCGGCGGCGGCGGACTACGAAAAATCAGGTGCCTGCATCATGTCAGTGGCTCGCCCCATCGTCCCTGCGACTTCCTCCTCCTCCGTGCGCGTAATGTCGCCGCCACCGAGCGACGCGCCGACGCCCCTCACCGTCGTCTCCTACTCTGATTTCGACAGCCCCTTTTGATTTGAGGGTTTCTTCTCCAAATCCAATGCTATAGAGCTCCTCCGTCAGTCCGTCTCGACTCCTGAAATTTACTTTGCTGTGGGGCAACTACAGGTGCAGAGCTTGCAGGCCGTGAAGAGACCTGACGGCGGCGCAACCGCGCAAGTCCCCAGTCCCAGAATCCAAGGCTGGTAGCTGCAGTAGCAACACAGAGAGCCCAACGTACATTTTTTCTAATATGAATGAGAATCCAATATTGATAGATTTGTACCATTTTGATAGATTTTTTAAACAAAAAAGTCAGCATTATATTTCAATAGAAGAGCAAAAGAGCTGAAGCTTTCCCCTAAACTTAAAATGGTCAATAAACACCAGTCAGCATTCTGCAGCCAAGCCAATGTAAAAATTTCAAAATACATGGAGATGCAAGTTTGATCATAACATCATTTGCATGAAGTCAATACAGAAGGCAAATGTCTCGAACCAACAATTATTCTTAAAGCAACTGTACCAACACAACGAAAATACACAAGGCAAGCGTTTAGACTCTGCAAGTAAAATCCAGATATAACAACAATTCATGACTTAATGGACGAAAAAGGGATTAAAAAGTACAAAAAACATAGTTCTTTCACAGACACCATACAAGCATAGTACTGCAGAAATAACCATCTGGCTGTCCCCTGTCCTAGACGCGAATCTCTGGAACATGCTGCATCTTCTGGTGCATCCCATTCGTCAGCCACTGAGTCCTAAACTCCGCGTGCAGGTACAGAAGCCAAAGCTTCTTGAGGGAGAGAAGCGATTCGATGCCTTGAGGGACCTTATCCAGCTGCGCTAGGGACATGATGTACAGGCCTTGGATGCATGGAAGAGCACCATGTCCAATCTCCAGCTGCTCGACGTTAGGCATTTTCTTCAGGACTAGTGTTTTCAGGTTAGGAAAGCACCCTGCAGAAAGAACCAAAGTGCTTGCACTATTCACCCTGTTAAAGCTCAAATAAGTGAGGTTTGGCACGTGTGGAGCAAGGACCCCAAACGGATCTTCACCAAGCTGACACCAGCTAAGCGCTAAATATTTTAGATGTTTCCCATGGTCGCGAAATATTGGATATTCCAGTGTCTCATCAGCCCAGCGCCGCCTTACAACTAGTCTGTGGAGCTTGGGAAATTTCAGCGCAAGGGCTTGGAGGCAAAGTGTCTCATTCACATCTCTTGCAGAGATTAGGAGGCTGGAAAGAAACGGCATCGCTGAAAGGGTGGCAAAAAGATTAGCACAATCTGCAGCACTTTCCTAAGTTTTAACAAATTTATTAGAAAAAATATATCAACATTTATTTCTCCAAATCAGTTTACTATGAAAATATATTTTATCATTAATCTATCGATACTTATTCGGTATATAAATGTTATACTTCTTTATATACATTTGGTCAACTTTGGAATTATTTAACTCCTCGAGAAGTGAGAATTGCATTATTTTTGAATGGAGGGTGAAGCATGGTGTGATGCCAACTTGCTACATTGAAAAGCTTCAAATAGTGCTCTAGTACCTAAAATCCTTACATGATCAATAAATTCTTGGGTGCCCATGTCAGCGATCTCGAAATATCCTGTAATTCCAGCGATTATCTGTGCAACTATAACACCTAAGCTAAATATGTCATACTCTTGTGAGATCACTTGATTGGTAATGAATTCGGGCGGCAAGTATCCACTGCAAAATAACATAAATGACACGGGTGAAGTGGGATTAAGAAATAAGCACAATTTAGATGATTAAATGTTATGCTCATTTGAGACATTAATCTTACACTGTCCCTAGAGGACTCATTGTCTTTCTGGTGTTCTCTTCACCAATGAGCCTAGATAATCCAAAATCTGCAATTTTTGGCTCCATCTTTTCATCTAGCAGTATATTGTCTGGTTTTAGGTCAAAGTGGAAAATGGGAACTTCCAATCCCTCGCGAAGGTATTTTAAACCATTGCAGATTCCCTTAATTATTTTATAGCGTATGGGCCAATTGTTGCCTAGATATTCACCTGCAAGAGCAACATAGTATTCTTTTATATATACATGTCCACATGTGCCAGAAAAAAATGTCATGCAGTACCGTGAGCACCAACCTGAAAGGAGCTTGCCAAGGCTTCCATTGGGCACATATTCAAGGCTGAGTGCCCTGCGTATCCTCTCACAAACTACTAATTTTCCTTTGTGCTCTACAATTTCATCCTCAGTTTCGTCACAGAAGCCCACTAGCTGTACAATATTAGGATGCTTGAGCCTCTTGAGGTTTTCAAATTCATTTTGGAATTGCTGGTCACTGATCTCTGGTGTGAAATAATGAAGTACCTTAACAGCAACCACTTCTCCATCTTCAAGCAATCCCTATTTATCAACTTTTGTAATTACAAATACTACATTTGGACTTGTTCCTATGCTAACAGTAACAGATGGAAATGAATTAAATCATATTTAGCTTTTCTCATTTTGTCCACATCCTCGCACAACCAAAGCTAACAACAAAATCAATCCACAAGAAAATTGAGATATTACTTTTACAAGTCTGTTATAGCCAATCTCAAAAAAGGATGTTTTTTCACCGCCATCCAAAACAAGTTTGCTTTTAAAAAGAGTCAGTGATAAGGTTTTCAGAAAAATAACCAGCCTGTTCGCTTGGTCGTAAACGATCGTAAATTTCCAGCCAGAATAGTATTTTTCTCTCACACCAAACCAGCTAGCAGTAATAATCCACGATCGTATACGATCGTTTCAGCCCTAGGCGAACATTTGTGATACATTTTTCTGATGGTTTTCCTTTCAGTTTTGGCTGTATCACATTAGCACATCACATACAGTTTTTATTTATAAAAATATCTATGCACGATAAGTTTTCTTTCCTCAGAAACACAGGAATGTTGCATATGAATAGAAGAGGGTACATCCCACACACCCACAAGACAGAATAGGGCTGCATGATAAGTTCCTTAGAATATATTTTTGACATATTTTCTAACCATGGTTTTTTGATACATCCTGTCACCTTTTATCTTTTCTGAAGTATTCTCTAAAATGCCATAATCCCACACACCCACATCCTGTCACCTTTTAACAATATCTTTGACTTGAAACTTTTTATTAAATCTGAGCGAGAAATTGATAACTAATGTTTAGCATCAGTCCACTTTTACTTAAAACGGTTTATGTTTAGTTTGTATAAATAGTATTGGAGGGTGATAATATGGAAAAATTGTTGTAAGGGGCTTGCTGAATATTTTTGTGTAAATGTTTACACAGAACTACTAGAAGAGAGGAAACAAAGTAAAACATTAGAAATGTAGCTGAATATATAGAACATCTTATATTGTACTACTACAAAATGAAGGAAGATGTCCAATTTCAAGCATGATACCTTAAACACTCGTCCAAACGCACCACGGCCAAGTTCATGTGTGAAATCATTTGTTATCTTTTTGACCAATTGATATGTTAGCTTCCTTGGATCATCAAATATCCGGCCTGCCCTGTTCTCCATGCTTTTGCTTCTGGTTGAAGAGTAATCCACATTTCGCGCAGGAGCATTTATGTGTTCATTCTTTTGCATCAAGGTAGTAGGCTAGTAGCCTAAAAAAAGTTTGTAGAAATACATCCTTGGCTTGTCTTCTATGACACCGTAAAACCAGGTTTGCAACAATAAGAAACACAAACAAGTCACAAATCGGAGCAGAAATAGCAAAGCTTTCTGATGAAACCGTAGATCTGCACTGAAAATATCCAAACCCATCAGAAACTAAGGCAGGACAATCACACAAGAAGATATATTAAACCTGTTGGGGAGGACCCGTACCCGGAAACAGGAATTCAGATGCAAACGAGATTATGCCTGGTGACCTGGTCCTTCAAGCCAGAATAATACAGTCCGGATCTGAACTTTTAAGAAATAGAATCCTCAGAACACCAACCAGATCTATGTTCGATCAGTAATTTTAATTTTAATACTTAAATCTGTTGTAGAAAAAAAAACAAGAGGGAAAGAATCAACAGAAGAAGGCAGATATTTCTTCTGCTCAGATGTTGAAACACAAAAAAACTGCTAAGAAAAAACGAGACCGTGGTACAGGTACTGCTGAGCAAATAAAGCAACATTTGAGATCTTGTACAGAGATTTCTTCATACAGCCGCACATGATTTTTACATAAGTTTCATTGATTGCAAACAGAGATACAGAACCATGTACGCACCTTTCTACTCTCGGCTCGTCTCGCTGTTGACCGGAGAGAAGAGGGAGAGAACATTGAATTGGGGATACAGAGTTACGGACAGACGGAGCTCAATAATGCAATGAACCAGCTGTACCTGAAAGCTCCTCACCACTTTATTACATTACACTCCACTCTATTTCAACGAAAATTGCACAAAAAAGCGCACCATACATCTAATCACTTCGATTTTTAAATTCCACCCAATAAGAGGGTGATTGGTTGAGTGACCTAGCATGGGGCATGGCGCGGACCAAAGCCCGGTCGTGCAGCCTGAGTGACAAGGATGTGCGTGTACAAACAACATGGGTGTATTAAAATGCCTCCTACCCCTGGCTCGTAGTGGAACGCAAGAGCATCTCCAGCAGCTCCCAATATCATCCATCATCCTTATAAAAACATCATATTAAGAAGATGAGACAATTTCATTGCTCCGGCAGCTCCGCAATAGCACTCTATCTCTCTTTTTGTCATCATATCTCCTCCGTATCTCCTCTGACATAAAGGTGAAGTTACATCTCCCCCAATAGTGTTGGGACCACAACAAGTATCATATTTTTTTCTCCCACATCCTCTATTCTAATATGTCGGTCCTATATATTGGGGAAGATTATTGGTGATTTGTTAGAACATCTCCCCCAGTATTTTAAAAAAGTATTGATGATGGCCACCAATACCATTCTATTGGGAATGATTTATTGGTGAGCCGTTGTAGATGCTCTAGGGTTATCTGTAATGCCTCGGGCCTTGCTCGCAGAATGCAAAAGATGCTTCTTAGCTTGGCTCCGCAGATACATATATTTTGAGCATTTATGAACAACTAGGCTCATTGGATATAGGCGCTTACCTAGCTAATGATGTTATTAGTGTACTTGAATCATGCATGTGTGTTATAATGGAAAAAATAATCACATGATATTTCATATTCAAACATGTGTTGTAATGTTAGATAATACTTTAAGCAGAACACTCGTAAGTGGGAGCGAGATGACGAGAGTAGTATCGGGCACTATAGAATCCACATTTGTATCTTCAAATAATAAGTTTATTATAAAATTAGATTTTATAATTAATTTACAACCCATAAAAAATAATAATAGTTTTTATATATTTGATTTGAATTTAGAATGTATTTGACTACAGTTTACATCAAAATTTGGGGAGAAGAACGCGGGAACTCGAAGCTTCCAAGATTGTGTCATCAAGGAATCGATTGCATTAGGATCGATATTAGCTAATTCAAATGCGGCACTGGAATTGACTCTCTTCGAATGACGTCAGCAGATAACGACAATAAGCTACGGTTGGCGTCGGGGAAGACATGTCGGACTCTAAAAAGGGAAAGATTAGGGTCGAAGTTATCTTAAATTAGTAATGTTTTCTTTTATACCAAAGATTGTAATGAGTCGTACTTGAGTAGGATTCATGCTTAGATTTCGGGTATAAATATTGAACCCCGGCTATTGTAAAAAGGACATCCAATCAATAAATACAAATTACTTTTTTCGGCTTTACGCTAAACCTTAGTAGTAGGAGTAGTATAGATCTCGGTGAATTCTTCAACAAGTAGGGCTACATCGGTCCGGCTGACCTCGAGCTTGTCTGTAAGTACCGTCATGGCTCATACTTCTGTTTGTACGGTTGCATCGGTTAAGTTCGACCTCCACTGCGAACTCTAGTATAAGCTAGTTATCGACTTTTATTTAATTCAAGTACGGCTGCATTAGTTAAGTTCGACCTCCACTGCTCGAATTAGATTAAGGTCAAGTTATCGGCTCTACCTAACGGTGGCGTCCTTCGGATAGATTCATTAAGTTACCGATCTTGCTGATGTTCTTATTGCCATTAGTTTCAGCAACATCAACATGTCCGGTCGAGATCGATCTAGATCTGCCTCATATGCTTTTAGTCTGTCATTTGCTTTGTTACAATGCGATGTTTCTTACTTTGAGCGATGGATTATGTTTCATCGGCTGTTCTACTTCGATC